GATGGAAAATATCTTGTCTGGTAATGGGAACAAACCCGTTATCTGCCTCAGTGCAGGAGGCAATGATATTGGCCGGTGTAGGAGCGAGGAGTTTCTTGATAAGTTCAAGGCAGCTACAGATCGTATTAGGTCTAAGGGAGGGATCCCTATCATATGGGGTGTCCTGCCTAGGAGGAGAGTTGGCAGTGAATGGTTGTCAAGGGCGGTTGGTGTCAACGGCCGTCTTGACAGATATTGCAAGTCAATATCAGTCCCATTCATTGACAACTGGGACAACTTCTACGGCAGAAGGGACCTTTATGCTAGGGATGGGGTGCACCTGTCTCGGGATGGGGTGGCAACCCTGGCTGGGTCTCTAGAGGGGGCAGTTCAAAGGATATCGAAGTCTTTAAACTGCTAGGGGAACATATGGGCATGGGGGTGGGGGAAACTGCAGTGGGAGCGGGTAAATAAAGTAAAAGATTCCAGGGAAATAGTGTTAGGAATGATGACAAAACTAAATTAAACAGGGAGTTTAAAACTAAACGCGGTAAGGGGAGGACTCAGAACACGACTAACTTAAATGTCTACTACGCGAACAGTAGAAGTATGAGAAACAAAATGGATGATATTAGGGCCTTGGTATGTACCGAAAAAATCGATATAATAGCATTCACTGAAACATGGATCAACCTAGACACACGTGAGTTGCCGGTCGAATACCAAATTGCGGGTTACAAATTGTTCCATACCGATAGGCAGACCAGGAAAGGAGGCGGAGTAGCGATCTATGTTAGGGATAATCTGAAGTGTGAAATAAATAAAGAAATAAATACTGAGCGGAATACAGAAACAATTTGGATAGAATTAAGCGACGGTAGGGAAAACTTAATCACAGGAGTAAAATATAGACCTCCCAATCTTGATAGAGTCAATGAGCGACTTATCTGGGTTGAAATGCGCATGGCTTCCATACACAACAAAGTCTGTATAGTAGGCGACTTTAACCTTGTCCAAATAGATTGGACTGACCTTACGGGTAACTCAGAATCAGAGGATTTTCTCGAGACGATCCAGGACTGTTTCCTAAGTCAACATATAACCGAACCCACACGGGGTAATAATATACTCGATTTAGTTCTGTCGAATAGAGCAAACCTCATTAGCAATGTCGAGGTAAGGAGCGAACTTGCAAACAGCGATCACAAAGAAATTAGATTCCAGTTAGATTTTCAGGGCAGATGTAAGGAAAATTCCACTGAAGTACCAGATTTCAGAAGGGCAAACTTTGACAGTTTAAAGAGGCAGCTGAGAGAGGGGGTGTCGCGCTTGGCCGTGAACCTGACAGATGACACCGACCTGATAACGAGATCTGAGATTGCCGAGTTCCACGACAATTTAAATAATGAGTTACTTAATGCACAAAGGCAGAACATACCGTACAAAAAACTCAGATCAGACAACAATGACCCTAAATGGATAAATAATTATTTAAAGAACATCATTGGCCAAAGGAAGGCTATAGGTAGAAGTATAAAGCATTGCAAAATTCACCTCCGGGACTATTATAGGGTATTGGCGAGTAGGGTTAAAACCGAGATAAGGAAAGCCAAGAAGAATAATGAGGTAAGGATATCAAGGGAGGCGAAGACAAACCCCAAAGGATTCTACCAAATGTATCAAACTAAAACACGAGAAAAGATTGGACCAATACGGTCAGATACCGGCGAGCTAACTGATAACGACGGAGAAATGAGCAATAATCTGAATAAATATTTTTCAACAGTTTTCACCACCGAAAATTTAAACATGATACCCGAGGCACCGACTCTATTCGGAGATAGTGAAGAAAACAAATTAAGCGAGATAGTCGTGACTAGTAACGATATTAGTAAGCAAATAGACAAACTAAAGCCTAATAAGTCACCTGATCCAGATGAGATATTTGCCAGAATATTAAAGGAATGTAAGGAAGAGCTTAGTATGCCCTTAGCAAAGTTGTTTAACATGTCCTTAAAACAAGGTGTAGTACCAGAATCCTGGAGGATAGCGAATGTAATACCGATTTTCAAGAAGGGGGGATAGATCACTATCCTCTAACTACCGCCCAATCAGTCTAACATCAATAGTAGGCAAATTACTAGAAGCAATCATTTCAAACTCTATTCGAAATCACCTGGAGAAGCACCGATTGATCAATGATTCCCAGCATGGTTTCACAAGCGGACGTTCTTGTCTAACTAATCTATTAACATTCTTTTCATCAGTTTTCGAATCGGTGGACGAGGGGCACAATTATGATGTGGTATATCTCGACTTTAGCAAAGCCTTCGACAGAGTCCCCCACGAAAGACTAATTAGAAAGGTAGAAGCACATGGCATCAAAGGTAACATCCTTAAATGGATTAGGGCGTGGTTACAGGACAGGAAACAGCCAGTGAGCATTAACGGCACTAAGTCCCATTGGAGCAACGTCACAAGTGGAGTTCCCCAAGGCTCAGTACTTGGACCATTATTATTTATTATATACATAAACGACATAGATATCGGCATAGACAGCAACATAAGTAAATTTGCTGATGACACTAAAATAGGACGTGTTATATAATCTGACGAGGACTCCGCAAAACTACAGGAAGATCTAAACAAATTTTCCGAATGGTCGGAAAAATGGCAGATGAAATTCAACGTGGACAAATGTAAATTACTCAGTATAGGAGATGTAAACAGGGAAACCAGATACCAGATGAACAACGATGCCATAAAGAAATCCGACTGCGAGAGAGATTTAGAAGTAATGATAAGCAGGAACCTTAAGCCAAGTAAACAATGTGTTTTTGCTCGTAACAAGGCTAATAAAGTACTTGGGTTCATACAAAGGAGTTTTAGTTACAAGACTAGCGAGGTCATCCTAAAACTGTATCTTGCGCTTGTGAGACCACACCTGGATTACTCAGTTCAGTTCTGGTCACCGTATTACAGAATGGATATAGAATCATTGGAAAGAATTCAGAGGAGAATGACAAGACTAATCTCGGGCATTAGGAGCCTTGAGTATAGAGACAGGTTAAAGCATCTTAATTTGCACTCCCTCGAGAGACGTAGAGCGAGGGGCGACCTGATAGAGGTGTATAAGTGGAAGGCAGGGCTAAACAAAGGGGACATTACAAAGGTACTCAAACTATCCAACCAGGAGCGAACTCGTAACAATGGTTTTAAATTAGACAAATTTAGATTTAGGCGTGAAATAGGTAAACACTGGTTTGGAAACAGAGTAGTGGATGAATGGAACAAGTTACCAAATATCATCATTAACTCGAATACGCTGAATAGCTTCAAACATAGGTTGGATGCTTATATGAGCAATAGGGGTTGGGTGTAAACGGGACTGCCCAGTATGGGCCAATAGGCCCGCTGCAGTTTCCTCCATTCTTATGTTCTTATGTTCTTATGTTCAACCATCCATTGCCAACTCTCCTTCTAGGCAGGACACCACATATGATAGGGATCCCTCCCTTCGACCTCATACGTCCAATAGCTGTCTTGAACTTATCAAGAAGCTCCTCGCTCCTACACCGGCCAATATCATTGCCTCCTGCACTGAGGCAGATAATGGGTTTGTTCCCATTACCAGACAAGATAATGTCCATCCTGTCAAATATATCCCCCACCCAGGCTCCTGGCAAACACACCCTCATCCTATTTTTATTTTTAGCACAGAATGCTCTATCCAGGTACTGTACATTGGGACAGTTACAGAGTTTACAGGAAGAGAAATGTGGGTCATCCCCTGCCTCAGATACATGCCAGATAGGTCTGTATCCTCACCTAATGCCAGCAGAGACAACATTATGTCTGTGGACCATAAGTCCACATCGACGATACTTGTGTGGATAAGGAAGAAAGTGATCATAGTGTTGGATGGTTATATTTTCAGCCCATTTGGTATCCCTGTGATGGGTTGTAGGGAGAACTGCGGCTGAACGTATTATCTTATGGAAGGTCCTGCTGGGCTTATATTTGGGCCTAAAAGATCCTGATTGCACAGCCATAATTTCGAGAATCGGTTATTGATTATTCTCAATAGAAGGATTTTTAAATAAACTTGTGTAATGCTGTGTGTCATGTTTTTATCTTTGGTTAAATAGTCTTTTATAATTTGTTATGGGTTTATTTTAATATTTTAGACAATTTAGAATTTTTAGTTACTTTTTATTTTCAGTACTTGAGTACTTTATGAATGAGATAGTTTTTACTCTACTTGAGTACATTGAACTTCGGATAGTTTTAAGTAAAAGAATACACAACACCACGAGAATAACGGGAGTATGGAGACAGATTACCATCTCGTCTGAACTGTCTCAAAACTGGGAGTATAGCAGTATATTAAGTTATTAACTGACGCCATAACTGAAAGCTGCCCTCTTTGAAATAGTGCTGAACTAATCACATGCAGAGAATATTCTAGAACAGGAAATACACATTACAATGAACTCCTGTATAGATTAGACATACATACATTGCTTCTAACTGGACTATATGGATAACCTACCTACAGTATTTAATACACACAAGTATTTCTTTTATATAACATGGAATAAAATATTGAGGGCTTACATGAGTGTGTAAGTTGTGACATGGCTGCAGTAGGTTGAGCTCTTATAGTGTAGCTGTGTATGTTGTGGAGTAGCTTTGTGAAGATTAGCTGTGTAACTTTTTACGTTGGTGCGCGTGTTGTGGTGTAGTTGTGTAGTTTATTGGGCAGCACTGTACGTTTTTCTATACTGTTTACATTATAGTGTTATCTGTACAGGTTTTGGCGAAAGTGTAATTTATAGCGTATCATGACAGGTTTTGGTGCGATGGCATAGGTTGCAGTATATCAGTATTAGATGTGAGGTAATTGTAAGTTTAGATGTAGCTGCATAGATTGTATTATTACAGTGGAGTCGGCGTTGTAACATTGCAGATTTGGTTGTAAAGATACAATCTGTGGAGTACACAAGGTGTATCATTGACAGGTTTGGGCGAGGTCTGCCGAGGGTGAACCTGGTGTCATTTCCTCGCTCCGGAAACACCTGGACACGTTACCTGTTGGAGGCCGCCACAGGGGTCTTCTCCGGCTCCGTCTACAGTGACAGAACTCTTTATAACAACGGTGAGTAAACTGTCCCAAGTCTAAGCTAATAAGACACACGAGTGAACTGCCCTAACTTTGAATTAACTTAATAAATACAACTTTACTTCAGCTAATTATATAAGAAGTGAGAGTGAATGTCTGTGAATGTATTAACTCTTAAGACTAGTCTGTGAATTTCTCCTGATTCAACTGCCTATATAAAATAAAAAATGTCAGTGAACAGCTCTGACTCAGCTAATTAAAAAAGCGATTATCAAACTCCTTGTCTAAAGTAATAATAATAAGATTGGAAGCTAAGCAACGTTTAATCAGCTAACTTTAAGACTTATGAGTAAACATCGTCTTGAGTTAACAAACTCTAAGGCGCGAGTCAGCAAATCCTTGACTTTGAGCTAAGAGTCATAGGTTTTGTTCACAAGTATTATATTACTTCTGACTGAATAACCCAAAATTCAATTTCCTTAATATTTGTGAATGAACAATTCAAATTTTCAACTGAAAATATTAACATGTGGGTATCAATAACTTGCTGACTCAATTAATTCAGCAAGACAATTATCTTGACAAAACTCTGATGCGAGTCACCCTTTATTAGTTGTAAGGAACATATGACTCAACTAACTTTACAAAACATGTAAGCATGCGCTCACCTGACTTAACAAACTTATTAGAATATATTAATCACTCAACAAAGTCTTGTAAAATTTGTATGACAATAACTCTGACTCACCGATAATAATTGTGAGTGAGCAATTTCAAGGCTCATCTAATTCCATATGACTTGAGATTAGGTAGGTCGTAGGCAGCCATCAAACAGGGAGGTACTACCGGTTGGGAAGATATTGGAAGCATAATGTGTTGTCTAATGGTCGACCCTGCCGCCATGTGACCAAGTCCCTCATTTATCACTCTTGGTCTTTTCTTATTCATTTTTGTATTTATTTATTGTTCTTTGCCATTATTATTTGACTTTTTCTGGGTGTATTTATTTTATTTTATATTTATTATTATTATTATTATTATTATTATTATTATTATTATTATTATTATTATTATTATTATTATTATTATTATTGTTATTGTTGTTATTGTTATTGTTATTGTTATTGTTATTGTTATTATTATTATTTCGCCCCCAGGCCCTGATATGAGTCAGTGACCTGTGCCCAAGTGGGCTAATCCCCTAAAAAATAATTCCATAAGACTTAACAGTCAGTAACAACCTAACTCAACCATTTCTAAAAAGAGTTGTCAGTGAACTAATCCTATTCAGTAATTCCGGAAGAATTTGTAAAGAAACAACCAAACGACTCAACTTGCCATGAGCCTTATAAGGAAACCACCCCAAGTCTCAACCAACCCCATAAGACTCATTAGTGAACATTCCAAACATACAATTAACTATATGAGACAACAAGAGTGATCAAAGGTGTGTGTGTGTGTGTGTGTGTGTGTGTGTGTGTGTGTGTGTGTGTGTGGCCTTAGACCATCACGTGGCACCTCTGACATGATCTTTGCTGCTCGCCAGATACAGGAAAAGTGCAGAGAACAGCGTCGTGACGTGTACATGGCTTTCATCGGCTTAACCAAGGCCTTCGACTTGGTCAACAGGGAAGCCCTCCGGTGGACCCTCAGCCGTTTTGGCTGCCCCCCAAAATTCATCGCCACTATGAGGCAATCCGAAAATGGCATGAACTGCAATGTCCTGCACAATGGCACCCAGTCTGAGTTCTTCCCCATCCAAACGGGGTTTAAACAAGGGTGTGTACTGGAACTAACTCTCTTTTCCATTTTCTTAGCTGCCAATTTAGCCGGCGGGGTGAACATCGAGTACTGGGTGAATGGTCTTTTCACCATAAGACGACTCCAGGCAAGAACAAAGGTGTCGGCAGCTTCCATTTCCTCACTTCAGTATGCAGACGAACTCACTCTTGTTGCTCACACTGAACGAGACCTACAGGAGATCCTGAACACTACGCAGATGCGTATGCATATTTCGGCCTTGAGGTGAATGTACATAAGACTCAGATTCTCTTTCAATCTGTCCCTGGTTCAGACACACCTCCACCGTCCATCCATTTGAATGGGACTATCCTCTCTAATGTTACCCACTTTCGGTATCTCAGCTCGCACCTGTTCACCACCGCGGACATCGATGAACAGATTTAGCATCGGATAAGATGTGCATCTCAAGCCTTTGGCAGACTCCGAAACGGTGTCTTCAGCTGTAGGGAGCTGAAATTATCTACAAAGTTACACGTATATCGAGCAGTGGTCCTCCCCACCCTGCTATATGGCAGGGAGACATGGGTCACATTCAGGAAGCACCTCAAGCCACTTGAAAACTTTCACCAACGTAGTCTATGTGCCATCCTTCGGAAGACAAGAGAACAAATACCAGTATTCTCGCTGACACTAACTGTAGGAGCATCGAGGCTACTATTATCCATGAACAACTACGTTGGACTGGCCATGTTACCTGCATGGACGTCAGTAGACTGCCGAAGCAGCTATTTTACAGTCGCTTAACGAATAGTAAACGTAACGCCGGCGGGCAACTGAAAGGTATATGGATAGTCTTCAGACAAACCTGAAGAAGTGCCAAATCGACCTCCTCACCTGGGAGACGATTAATCCACATTGTAACGCTTGGAGGAGCACCACACGAGGTGTCAATACTTTTGAGTTAACCCGACTGCAAACCGAGGCAGACAAGTGCCAAAGCCAGAAAGTCGCTGCCGCCGCCCCTTCCGCACTAGGTGTAGCCCTCCACCTGTGCAACATCTGTGAACAACTCTGCCGGTCCCGTATCGGCCTCTTTAGTCACCTCAAAACTCACCAACTTGGGTGACATCCCTAATAACTCATATCATTGTATCATAGTTGGATGATCGTCATATTCGTTTCCTAGTGACAGCAAAGTAGTAGTAGAAGTGTGTGTGTGTGTGTGTGTGTGTGTGTGTGTGTGTGTGTGTGTGTGTGTGTGTGTGTGTGTGTGTGTGTGTAACCACCTGATTTAATTAACTCAACAATACGTACAAGTGAATAACCCACTGACTAAACTAGTTCAATAAGCCTTGTTTGAGAATAACCTCCTGACTTAACTATGGTAAATATGACTTGTGAGTGAAAAAGCTGACTCAACTAAATTTATGAGACCTGGAAACACTCATCTGCCTCAACTAACTTATTAAAGTTTGTAACTGAGCAATTCAATGCCTCAATAATCCCTGAGACTTGTAACTTGACTAGAACAATTATAGAACTCAACTGACTCTAGAGGACTTGTGCATGACCATCACTAAGATTTAACTTATTACTAGTGACTGAAGAACCCCAAGAATCACTAACTCCATGAGACTTGTGAGTGAACAAACCTTGTGACTCAGACTCCTCAGGGCACAGCCTAGATCACAGCCAATTCTGGAAAACTCCCAACTCAAAACTCAACTGTATCTGAGACTTGCATGTTACTTAAATTGTGACTCCTTTACCTTGTAGTGTTTGGTCCAGGAAAACTCAGGCTACGTTTATCAGTTTATTGGTGTTGCTAGGAGAACTGTGCTCTTGCATGAAGCGAGAGTGAGTGGCCGTTCCGAACTTCCTAGGCGGTTTACTAATATATATACCGGCTGACTGAATGAAGATGTCTTGGCTTAAGTCTCGAACCAAGTTCAGCCACGTCATCCAGCCGACTCAACAACAGTTACATAAACAGAATTGCTAGTTACAGCAATTATAGACATTGTTAACTATATTACATTACATTGCATTACATTGCATTCACTATATCAGCCCCCTCCCGACGATCACTTGTAAGGAAAGTGACGCGTCGAAACCGAAGCTGCGGCCGTACCACACGGCCGGACCTCGTCCGCGGACATGAGCGTAGTGGTGGCGTAGTCACAGGTTCTGCGTCGCTTGCGGAGGCAGCATTGGTCGGCCTGTTTATGCTGGGGCCGGGAACATCTGTGTCCTCGTCAATGTAAGCCGGTTTCAGTCGGTCGATGGAGACTGTGTGCCGAACCTCTTGGCGGTCGATAGTATAAAACTTAGACAACCGGCGGAGCACCCTGAAGGGACCATAGTTGCAGTCGTGGTCCAGATGCCATTCGTCGTACGAAAACATGTGTTGTCCCGTCCAGTGCCTTGTTGATGAAGACCTGCTTCTGAGAGCTCTGCCATGATGGTGTAAAACGCAGGGACCGAATACAGTCACGGAGTGTCTCCACTTACTAACCAGTCTGCAATGATGGAGTAGATGTGAAGGCTAGAAATTCTCCAAATCGGTCTTAAGGTGAAAGCGCTCAACTAGCCCCTTGCTTGCTGGGTGTTAAGCGTTGGTGCGGATGCGGGAAGAGCCGAGCAGTTTCATCAGTTGATGCCAAAGTTTGGATTCGAATTGCCGGCCTCTATCGGTCCTCACAGTTGAGGGCACCCCGAAGTGAGCAACCCAACCAGAGACGAAGGCCTTGGCGACTGCTTGTGCGGTGATCTCGGTGATGGGTACTACTTCCGGCCAACGAGTAAAGCGGTCAGCAATTGTTAGAAGGTATCGGAAACCTTCTGAGGGCGGTAGTGGTCCAACAATGTCGACATGGATGTGGTCAAAGCAAGCTGATGGTGGCAGAAACGTACCAACAGGTGACTTAGTGTGCCGTTGGATTTTAGATCTTCGGCAGGCCGTGTATACCTTGGTCCAGCGTCGCACGTCACTGTTGATGGAGGACCAGACGTAGCGCTGTCTGACAAATCTCTGTGTTGCACGGATGCCAGGGTGCGAGGATGAGCACAGCGACTGAAACAACTGTCGGCACATATCCAGGGGAACTAGTGGATGGAGTCGGTTGGTCGATGTATCACAGAGCAACGTCCTGCCATTGGGGAGAGGAATGTCACGAAACTGGAGCCCGGTATCCGTGGTCCGTAGCTGTTGTATGTCGCTGTCGCATTGTTGAGCGTCAGCAAGCAGCGTGAAGTCCAGTTTGGAGGCGTCAGAGTCATCAGCCTTAAGCGTG